AGGCTTAATCGCTCTGATTTCTAGTGACCCGCCGTAGATGGCTGCCGTCACTCTGTGCCAGCAGGGAGAACTCCATCTCTACAGAAGCGCTGGCAGCTGGCCACCGTGGGCTGGGGCACTTGGGGGAATCCCATTGGCAGTTATGATGGATAGGTGTTGTGGGTATTCAGGAAATCCCCATCAGAAGAAAAGGAGAAGTGGTTCTCAGCACTGCAAAATAACTTCCGCCAATCTTCTCAAAGGCAATCTAATATCAATATTGTCATAACATTGGATCAATTGACTGCATTTAGGAATCAAGAGAGAGTCTAAAGTTGTCTAGCTGTTTGGGAGTTTTGGCATCTTTCTGTACAATGTTTTTTTTTTCTTGACTACCCAGGAGGTTGTTTTCAGCAGAAAAGCTCTTCAAAGCCCACTGCATGAATGCCAGCACCCAAAGGCAGAGTCAACGTTATTGACTACTGGTACATAGTGGAGAATAAAGCAGCTCTTAAAGAGACAGATATTTCCCTCAGGACATGGTGGAGACAACATCAAGAGCTGAAAGTGTTGGTTTGTCAGAATCTCCATGATGATCTGGTTATTTTCCATGTGTTACTGTATTAACATGTTCCCAAAACAACTTGAAATTAATGGTGACTTTTTGTACTTCTATTATACTTGGGGTTTTGTAATAGTACACTGGTTTAGCAATAAATCAACTAGAAAAGTGTAACATATTGCTAAAAATGTTTACATTAAATTCAACAAAAAACTTATTATTTGATATTAAAAACAAAAGACAACAGTTTTTGAATATGCTGCTAGAACATCGTTTTTAATTAGATGACACATTTCTTAAAAATAAGCCCTTCTTTGTTGTGCATTTACATCTCCCAATCTCACTTACATTTCTGAATCCCATCCCCCCTTTAAAACTAATGTTAAAGCATTGGTCAATTCAGAAAGGACTTCAAAATAACTTAAAGAGCAGTGTGAGTGGCTTTTGTATATACAACCAATACAGCTAAACTTTTCTGATAAGAGAATTATAACTTAAGACAGCCAATTAACTTAACAGTTTTGTCAGTTCTTATCCAAGTTATGACAAACTCCAGTCCCCTGGCTTCCAGTAAACCCCTACCATGAAAAATAAATTCAGAGATTAGCTACTTAAAATGAGTCTGGAAAGTTGGAGTTTGTGTATGAAAAATAACCTGTCCTGTTTGTATTAAATGAATGGGGGCCAGGTCTCATCATCTTCAGTTTGGCGTGCTCAGGCCCAGGAACAGGAAGCAGCCAGCGAGAGCGCTGACTCCGGCCAGCCAATTAGAGCGCGGGGAGCACTGAACACGGCAAGGCTAACGAGCTCCCTCTCCGTGACCCTCCTCACCTCTGCAGGACCCCACGATGGGAAATATGAGGAGCCGGGAGCCACTTTAACCCCCCCGCAACCTCTCTCTTTAGCCTCCTTTGCCTGCCCACCCCAACCTCTAGTCGCAAACCCTGCTGTGTGACCACAAGGTCTACAAACACATGCTGCCTCTCTTCAGAGGCCCGCCACATGGCTTTTTTACTGCCTCGCCGATGCTAAAAAGTGCCACACAGAAAAACAATGTACACACACATTCCTTGCACGGAGTTGGAGCTGTGTCACTTGTGTGCATTTCCCTCTCGTTTACTCTCGCCCGGTTTTAGGTGGAGGGGGCTACGCAGCCTCTTTCCAAGAGCCTTGAATAGTAAATGGGTTCCAAATTAATTGGCAGGATTTGCAAGGCAGTGAGATAATTCGGAGGCACTGTAATGAAGTGGGACTGCCATGACCGCTAATGTGGCTTGGCTGTGGGCATTATTACTATTTATTTGAGCAAAAACAACACCAGTAAAGAGTGGTGAATAAAAAGCTACCTGATGGGTTAAACTCAGAAACTACAGCGGGAAGGTCGATACGTTTCCAACACACTGCAACTTAATGAAATAAAGAAAGAAGGGGGAGCAAGTAATAATCATCAACGTCCAACACCCCCACCCCCTTTCTCTCTGCAGGCAGAATTGGTCCCGTCATTTGGACCCTCCAAACACAGACCATATGTGGGTTCAGCCCTGGCAATCAGACTGCATTGTGGAGCAGGCGGCTGAGTTCATCAGGAAAAAATTAGCCCGCCGCTCTGCAGGCCTCGCTCCCATTGGCCAGTCACGCGGCCCGCTCCGTTTGAGGGCACCCCAGACATTCCTGCGGATAATCTTTTCCATTCCTCTGCTCAGCTCGGTGAGGACAGACCAAATCACAGCACAAGGCCTGCATTGTGAAAAGCAGTTTTCAAAAAAGCCCTGTTTTCAATGCCGTCTCTCTTTTATGCTTTCCCTCTCTCTCACCTCATACACCACAATTCCTAAAAAAAAGTTTTTCCCATCATGACTCTCATATAAAAAAAAACACAAAATGATTGCTTTTCTGAAAGAGGAAACGGCGAGGTCCCGGGCCCAGAGTTTCTCACAGTCCAGTAAGAGTTTGTTTTTGAAAGCCCAAACAATGTAAAAACCGCCAAAACCGGAGCCCGGCCACATCAGTGTGTGGCGTGGAGTTCAGCAGATCGCTGCTGAATACAGCATCCCGGGCGAGGCTTCCCAGAAACCTCCTGCTTGGTCACCGCTACACGCCTCGCCGCCCCCCCCCTACAGCAGCTTGTCATTGTGGCTGTCGTTGGGCAGCTGGAGCTCCGAGATTGGAGGACAATCACACAATCTGGGGACACTGTAATTATGGAACGTGTTGCTATAAATCCACCAACCATGATTATTACAGGGTCTATAAACTTTAGACTCCAGGGCGGCTGTCCAACCTCTGCTGCTATTACTTAACAGTTACTTTCTTTCAAGAAGTACACTCTGCTCTTGGCTGCCTGGGGAGAATTAAACACACCACTGAATGTGTTTAACATCCCCTGCTGTGAAACTTAGAAGGTATTTTTTTTTCTCAACACTTTCACTTATTTTCTCCTTCTTCCTTTACCCCTGGAACCGAGGTAGACAAAATAATCTAACAGGACTCATTTCCTAGTGTGCTTCAACTCTTAAAATAGCCACAACACAAAGAAGCAGAACCTTTAACACACTTGGGCAAGACTACACTTCTAATCCAGATGCTCCTAATTGTTGAGGAAACACGTCCACCCTTTACTGCAGGCTGTGACAGTAAAAAATGCTGCAATCAATCAAGATAGCTCGGTAAAATACACAAAGATGGGGGTGAGGTTGGTGAAAAGACGGCGCGCTTCACTGATCGTGCTGAAACTTGTCTGTGAAAAAGTATGCCTGAGAAAGAGAGGGTAGTGGGTTCTTATCTTGCCTCCACTGAGACAGTAAAACAATTATATATTTTCCGAAGAGAAGCTACGATTTTGAATCGCCTATTTTCTTTTAAGGGATAAAAATACAAGTCTGAACTGTTTCCTTAAGGACAAACATGTTGTGGTTTCTCTAGATATGTCTGAACGTGCAGCAGGGACATCATTCCCATCTGTCCCAGTGATCTGTGTCCTGTTCTGAACTCTCCAGTTACAGAACGTTCCAAGAAACAACCAGAAACTGACTGGGTAACAGATATCCTCTCACATCTCCTTTTAAAAAAAGACAAAAGGTTAGCTCATTGAGGGATTTTAAGGGTGGCCGTGATTATGATTCTTGAGGGCAAAACTTCACCAAAAACTAAGAAAGACAAGGAACTAATGGAATTGATTAGTGTTATCATAAAGATTAATATATGAAATAGCCAATAGGCAGATGTAATTGAATGATTTCACTTATATAAAAAGCTAAAGTTAATTCAGATTGTACTGTAGAGATTTTTTGCTTGGATTTCTCTTGATTGCAGTCTTTAAGAAGTAAAACACATCATTTCTGAAAGTATTTTCATGCCTATTCCTGAACATTTGAAGTGTCTTCCCTAATTTGTCCTGCTTTGGAAAACAAAGTTTCATTGCAAATGGAGAACTGATGCAAACGAAAACATTCAATAATATGTACGTGTACCTTTTTAAATCCAATGAACCACTTCAATGAGGAAATGCCATGGATGCAGCTAAGAGCACTTCAAGTAGGGTAAAATGAATGAAATCAAGCAAAGCAGAAAGGGGTGATTCATGTGTAGCACTGAGCAAAAATGGAAAAGAATAAACGGAGCCAATTCAAACAAGATGCAGAGAAAAAGCAATATGTGCCTGTTAGTAGATGCGTGTGGTCTCCATCAATAAATGGTGAAAGGGCATTCTATTTTTATACATAAAGTAGATACTTTCAGAACTAAAACAACACTGCAGAATAAACCTCAACGTACTTTCCATGTATGGGGAGATTCTAGTTCAAGGATAGAAATTGAAAAACGTTAAAATCAAACAGCTGTTCTTGTATAAATATTTGTATGTTTATATGATTTTATCTTGCGAGTCATGCTCTCCTCACATGACATGCGGCTCAGCTGGTCGCAGCACTGACACTGCAGGAGGGGGGGCGGGGAGAGGAGTGGAGTGAAGGGGGGAGGGGAGCCTTTGGGGATGGAGTGATAAATGTATCAGCATTAACCACATGTTCTGCACAGCTCTGTCGCCTATTAATTAGCCGCATACCAGACAGTTTCAGAATATACGCTGGTGTGAGACCCTGCTTGCCTGTTAGGGAGGTGGAAGTGAGGGAGGGGGCTGATCCGAGAGCAACACTGTTAACTTGTCCATCACTGGGGCTCAGCATGCAAAGACACCATTAAGCATAAAAAAACCAGACTGCCTCCAAAAAGGCCCCCACACACACCTCGGACCGGAGGCTACAGTAAGTGTGTGTATGTGTGTTTGTAAGAAAGCAGTACTTTCCAATGTAGGACATCACTAAATATAATTCATATTAAGTCGTGAGATGCCCCTTTAAAAATGGCATTTTGTAGGACAAGTGCATTTTCCAAAGATTGCACCGCAGAACAAAAATAATACTCAAGTAGCAAGAAGTATGTTTCCTACAGTCGCTGTTACCTGAGGATATGCGACGCTGATGGAGGTGGCACATGCCGGTGAAACAGGAACATGCCTCGCCCGAGCGACCCCGCTGCATGGGAGGAGCCAACGAGCACTGGGGCTTCAGGAACCCTGCAATGAAAGACATAAAGAAACATATGAAACGATGACATAAAGAAACAGACAACTGTTTGATGATGAACAGGACTTGTTAACCGTTAAAAACTGCTGTGATATAAGGAAGTGTACAGGCAGCCTTCCCAGTCCACACTACAAGTTTTCTTGGGGTCTTGAACCAATGACCATTCGTAGACCATCCGGTTCCCATCCAAGTCCTCTACGGGCTGAGCAATAATCGCCCTTGTAGTACTAATGGTGGGACGAGTGAGTTAAACAATTCATTCCCACTATCATTGAGCAACCATCAGACCAAGCCCACCTCTCACATTCACAGTTCTGTAGCCAGCTGGCCCTCACTCTAACCTCAATGCTCATGCCCAGGGCAATGGCTCCAGAGAGTGACAGAATCTGCAGGATACTGGGTAAGTTCTGGCCTGGAGGAAGGCAAAGATCGGCCCGGGCAGGGAAGTGAGGTCAGCAACTCTTTGCGGGCAAAATGTCAAATGTGCCCGAGGGGCTGGACGAGGCAGTCTTACTGTCTGTCTCTGGGTCGCGGGGGTCATTTTCAATAGGGAAGTCATTATCCGGCACAATGAAGCAACTGAGTGGGCTGTACCCCCTGCAGACAGGGATTTGTCGGCCTCTGACATCTAGCAAAGAGAAACAGCAACAGATAAAGCTACAGTAGAATATTTTGCATATATTTCTTGGATTTAACACTGTAGGAGCATGTGAAAGTAAATAGACCAGAAAGTTGGAACCAAATGCACCCTTAGCAAACACAAATTTGAAAATACGTGCCATACTCTGACCCTGTAGACCCTCTATATACTATAGACTTAAAGTGCTATATGGGTGGCATTTCATTTCATGATTGACAGTCCCAAAGCAGAAATGTCTGTATGAAGATCACTGTTCTCAGTCAGACGAGGATTTGCTGCATCTTTATCGACTGGGTAGCTCATGCGGATCTCATTGGCATTGGCACGTCTCTGCAAATCCAAACTTTATTCATTCCTCATGAGGACCTTTAGATTTCCAGCAAACATCAAGAGCAGCAGGCGGCAGACCCCCCCCCGTCAATGTGTTCTGAGCCCAATAAAGCGCCTTTATTTCCACCATGAAAAACATGTCACTCAGGATGAGCTCAGAGAATGACATTTAAAACAGGCAAAGGGATATTGAATTAGTTCCCCATGATAAGCTGTCTGGGATATGTTCTGCTCATAAGGGTGTGCAAGCGCGAGTGTGCGTGCACGTGCAGTTATGTGGATGTGTTCACGTCCGATGCATTTTTCAGAGCTTTGATTAGCATTACGGATGGAGCGAGCAAGTCTGGACCAGCAAGAGCAAACGCAGGCAGACTGAGATCACCCTGAGCATCGTGAATTAAATAAAACCCACAAAGAAGGCATTATGAATGTTTCATTACACTTGAAGTACAAATGTTTCTCCACATATGCTTTATCTTGCTGTTTACAGAGCACAATAATGCCGTTGTTAGTATATCAGAACAATAGCAGGGACTGTTGAACACATTAGGGGAATTATTAAGCATAAAGGCATGTTGGAAGGGCATGATTACATTTTATAGACAATGTTTGATTTTATTAAGATCTACTGATGTGATATAAATATGTGTGTTTGATTTAGATCTGAAAAAGCTGTAACTTTGTTGTCAATCATTAGGGATTAGTTCACCCCAAAGCACAATGTTTTTCCTCTTAGCTTGCTTACAATGTATCAATTCTGATTATTTCGGTATGTTTCTGCAGATTTGAAGATTACTGCCTATCCTCAACCCCATACAAGAACTGGCAACGATTGTGGTGATACATTGGTTTCATTTTATGTCATCATGCATACACATAATAAATAATCCTGATCCAGAATGTCGTGCACACATTTCAGAAGTACAAAGAAGATAAACAATTCACATAATTGATCTTTGTGTGTATCAATCACAGATAAACCATGTGTTATTGTAAACTACAAAGGAAAGACTCTTTAAATATGCAAATGTTCCTACTTTCAAAAAGAATAGCTATAAAAAAAATACACATTAAAAACGGTTTTCTATCTTAAAGCCCTGATAATTCCTACTTAAAAGGCCTCGAGAATGTCTCTGCTTGAGTATCTCATTGCACGTTCTCCAGTACTAATGGATAAGGTTCATGCACTTTGGTTTTCTACTTGGAAAAATCGTGGAAAATGGTTATAAATAGTCCTGTTCCATCTATAACTATCCGTCACAATTCCCTCATCTTTCCCAAATAAATCAATCCTCCTGGAAAATGGCACATTCCTGGTTGTACAATAGGGGTTAAAGGGCAAACAATGACACATGTTGTATAGCTCCGAGCTATGTCACTGAACATTAAGGCATTAACATATGAGCCCAGGCTCCCAGTCAAAATGGACTTTACCAAAATCAGGAATAAACTAAGCAGACAGCAGCTCCACTCCCCCCAAAAAGAACCCAACACTGCAAGCCATCCACTCGAGTAATGTTCCCACGGGACAGAGCAATGTTAAAAGAACAGTGTTCAAACACTTTGGTATTTCACCTTAATAGGGAACTTTATCCTTTGCTATTTTCAATGTAAATATCCATAAATGAGATTTAAAAAAAAATCTAATTCTGAAAACGACTGTTGAGTTTGACAAATATTTGAAAAACTCAAAACTTCAGAAGCATGCACGTCTTTTTTCTGTTGGTATCATGAATCATTTTTATTGAAGTTGTTCTGGCCTTGAAGTAAATGATGAAAGCTCAAACGTGTATGTGCAGGTTTAGGATCCGCTGTCATGAGTGGTAAGGTTGGTACATGTCTTGCCATTAAATCTTCCCCATCACACTGCATGTCTTGGGCCGTATACTTTAGCAGGACTGTGATTACAGAACTGTCTGCTCTCGCTCTTCACTTCTAAGCAACACTGAGCTCATTGGCTTTAATGACTGTATGATCTAATCTTTGGGGGGACAAGCTCATACGCTCCGGAGCCAATCAGCATTTTCCTTACCGGCGATCATGGGGGATCAGAGCAATGTAAACACGCTGGGGGTTTCCTCATTAAAGATAGGCCGCTAATGAAATCGCATCCAGCATTTACAACCTTGTGCTAATGAAGGAAAGCCTTTGAGATGTCCCGATAATGAAATAAGTATTTTTGTTCCTGTTGATATACGGCTCAGAAAAGAAAAGGCTTAATGACAAGGTTCTAATGAAACAAAGGTGTGTACATTTGCAATTATAACAAATCTGCCAGATAACATCAACGACTGAAATATTTGTATTAACGGATGATTCTCATTTACCACGGATACATCAGTGAGAGACTAGTGCTTGCAGACTTTACAAGATCCCCACAAAGTCAAGACTTTTGAATGAAATACATTCAAGCATTTACGAGAGTTTAAGGAATTGCAGCCGAGCCTCTTTTTTTAAGTGTAATGATTGTTCGTGTGCGTTGCCAGGGTGATCAAGCCCAAGGTCAAAGTTCATTGGGCCCTTAATGCATCTCCCAGGTGCAATAAAGAAAAGCCTTTCCCACATGGGACTCCAGGGGCCAAGGTCTTGGTAGAACGCGCAGAGGGACGGACCAGAAAAGGAGCGATCAATCGCCACGGTCACCGTTGTGATTGCCATTCACCTTCAGCGGTATACTACAGCATGCCATGACATAAGGAGAGGAAAACATGTTAAAGAGAATTCTGCACAGCTCCTAGTTCTCCGGCATGTCCTCTACAACGGCCTTGAAGAGAGCGTCTTTCAACCGTTTGCCGAGTTATTTCATACAAGAGTAGACTTGACAATAAATGGACCTTTCCATTTGCTGTATCCAGATATCTTTATGTTATATCTTCTTACAAAACATTAATGTTCTTCAGTTCATTTTTTAGGTTAAATGATTAATTGCAAAAAACATCAAGAGATGAGTTAATAATGAAAAGTAGTTGCAGCCCCAATCACTACTGTGTCAATGCTCTCTGTGTTTGCGTTTCATGTTGTTTTCCTATAAATGAAAGGCATTAAGTAATAGACTTAATGATCCTCTGATGTTTGCTTTGCTCTAAAGAGAGCTAATCCTGTGCCGCAGCATCTCATTACACCAACAATTACTGCTCTGACAGAGGCTATGTGCTGAAGCAACTCGCCCTGTTCGTCACTTCAGTGCGCTCTCAGTGCGCTCTCAGTGAGCAGCTAAAAGACCCTTCAGAACCCGTCGGCTGATAATCAAACACCGCTGCACCCTTCTCTGATCCCGATCATCGGCATGGAAAGCATCCAACCTGCTTCCGAGCATATCTGCTCCATCAGCAAACTGTCTTCCCTCCCCCTAGATAATATCCATTTTGAAAGGGGGGAAAAAAGGGAAAGAGAGACACATTTAAACATGCCTCTAAGCTCTTATGTATCTCAACCAGAAAAAAGCCTGAGAAGATCCATCATGACAACAAAGCAAACCTCATAAAGATTACCGGAGGCAATACCTAGATGCCGATCGTTCTATTATACTTGCTACAAAAATAGACGTATTTTACACACATATACACAATTTTGTTGTTGTTTACATATTTATTTGGACGATCTAGATTGATTACACGGCGCCTTCTTGCAGTTTTTGAAAAACTGCCTTTGGGTTGAAATGCCTCCCTTATTACTTAAGGGTCTCTGCGCAGGAAGCAGGTGAACTGAATCAGAGGACATATGGTGACCCATAAGATAAACAAGGGCATACGTTTTCAAAGGACTTACAAGCCGCGGCAGTATGTTGAATATTTGATATGGTATATTGTGTCAAACTAAACAGGATTCCCCTCATGTGAAGCTGCATGTTGCTTGTACATAAAGAAACTGAAGGCAAAACCCCTTTCCCTTGCTACAGATTCTTTAGAGACATTATTTACATGGCCTTGGATGAATTAGGGCCACCCAGGGGCTTCTTTAAGCCCTAATAGAAGATTAGACAAAATCTGCAGAAACAGATACCCATGAAGACCTTGGCTC